CTCCATCTGGCACATTCCATTTTGCAATCACTGCTTCAAAGTCACCTTCTGCTACAACTCCCAAGGTGACTGGCTTGGTATCATGTGTGGCCCCAAGCAGCTTTGCCAGGGATCCTGCTAGCTTGGTCTCATCATTCATCTCACCTGCCGGTACTCCAACCCATGTGAACACTGCAGCTAACTTGTCCATCTGCTTACGTTCATCCTCTGTTGGATCCATTGATAGTGATTCGAATGCCACTTGGCAAGGTGCTGACTTCCCAAGTCTGTTTCCTGATGCGCAAGCTGCAGCAGGTTATCACAATGATCAAGGCCACCAACGCCACACCGAGGGCTATTGCAGCAAGCGCCCCTGATTACTCTTCAATACCCAATTCGCTTTTGGGTATCAATGCCTGATGCATTCACCCGCCCCACTGGTCTCCCCACCACACTGGTTTCACCGGGTGGGTGACTTTACAAATTAACAGTGGGTGGTGTGAATGCTTGAGCGCAAAACGGGTAACATTCACACTATCCCACCCATCCACCCTGGTGATGTTCTCTCATTGCTACAATCACAACAAGTTGTTCATACCGATATATGATGATGTATGGTGATAGATGATGATAGATGATGATGTATGGTGATAGATGATGATAGATGATGATGTATGGTGATAGATGATGATAGATGATGATATACGGTGATAGATGATGATAGATGATGATAGATGATGATATATGATTTATGATGATATATGGTGATATATGCTGATAGATAATGATAGATGATATATCATTATGAAAGAGACTAATTATGGTGACTAATTGGGCAGATCACTAATTTGGAAATTGTTCAAACTGAACATAACTCGGGAAAAATCCAGACACGTTCCAACAGAAAGTAGAATAGAAACTTTTTGTCGATGTTGCTATAACAATTTCAACTTGCCAGGCTACAATGTTGTCTTCACCTTCACCTTTACGACAGTGCATGCTTTTCTACCTCCGCAATGCGACCCCCGCGAGACATCCGTGAGACCAAATTGTCACCACTGGTCGCCCGACCCCTTTTCGGTGCCAGCGAAGCACTGAAACATCGACGGCCTGGGAAGAGCTTCACAGGTGGTGGGAGCCACACGCCTTTCCGATCTGTTGCCCACAGCTGCAATCGATGACAGCAACGTCTTCCTGGAACGAGAAACAAGCAGGACTCTGGACTCTCATTCCCCTCTAGGTGATGATTTTTGGTGTGAATTACCAAAAAGTAATTGAACAGTGGTAAACTGGCGGCAGCAGCATCAACAACAACGACGACGACGACGACGACGACGACGACGACGACAACAACAACAACAACACCAGCAACAACAACAACAACAGCAGCAACAACAACAACAACAACAAGCAACAGCAACAGCAGCAAGAGCAGCAACACAATAAACTCAATAAACCCGTGTTGGCGTATGTGTTTCTTTAAACCCCAAATGGTGAAGATTGGTTGATTGGCAATGGAATATGAGTAGGTTCACTACATCAACCCCCCGCCCCACACTTGGAACTGGCCCAAACAACAAGTCCACCATCAAATGCCGGTGGTTTTACCTCCAAGAAATATTACTGTACAATAATCAGATCATCATTTCAAATAAGGCAAATTATCTGGTGGAAAACACCAATTATCATCACAATCATCTAAAAAAAATATGCAATAAATATTTGAAACCACCAAACAATACTGTCTGTTTAGTCAAACAGAGGGGTCCATCATCATCTGCCTATTGGATCTTCAACTGGGCCCCCCTATCACCCAAGGCACCCCAAGCTGCAAAAGCTGCAGGGGCCCAGGATTTCTGGGGCTGACGCTTCCTGGCCACCCAGCTGGTGAACACTTAAACTCATCCGCAAAGCCATGGGTCTATTATGTTCTATTGATTAGATACTCAAGGAAGAAAAGCTTGGTGCTTCAGTTCGGCCCTTAATACATCTTAATTTAATTCACCCTGATTGTTCGGCTGGTCACTTTGGGGGTAGCAACTGGTGTTTCAGTCACGTTCCTTGCCTCCGTCGCAGACAGCAACATCCTCTTGGTTGCTTCGACCGATGACCTGGGATCACTGGGTCCGACATGGTCCGACATCATCTGCTGGTGGCTTCAAGTTGGGATTATATATCCATGTGAAAAACACATGGCAAATAATCAATGCCCATAGGAATCATAGGAATGTCTGTGAACAACTATGGACTATGACTATGAATATAAAAACATGAAAGTAACAACCACCAGCAGATTTGCACACTTCTGCACCAAGGCTTTCGATTTTGTTCACGTCTCTCAGTCCACATCCAAACAAAGATCCACAGCCATCTGAAACAGTTAAAGGCTCAACATACAAACTTACAAACATTAGTTGCCAAAAAACAATGATCTGACTTACCTCTGAAGCTGACCATTTTGCCGTTTCAAACCATGGATGCCTAGAATTTCTCACACCAGCAGTAGCGCCCAAGGTGGTTTTCTCGTGGTGCCAGCCGACTCTGATAGCTCATCCGCATGATTCAAGATCAAGATGTCGGAGCAACGAAGCTGAACCCGGCCCCGCGATCCTGCCACGACTGGACCATGCTGCCATGCTGTCTCTCTTGGGGACCTTCCAACACCGTTTCTAGTTGATTCCCAACACGACAAACGTTGATATCTTTGGTGATGTCGGGGGTTCCAATTTCAAGACACCCTTGCAAACATGACTGGTGCTACCACAAACCTACAACCTTTTGACACAGTCTTTTTGTGAGGTCGGCCAAAAGATACTATAGGGAATGAAGAATTGATTGCGAATCGAACACATGAGAGTGACACCTCTGTGACATTTTCCCTTCCCCCAAGCTTATCGAGTCCTGCAGATTGATCACCAGTATCCTGCACCAAAGGAAAAGGCAGCCCACCAGCTCATCTGGCTCACAAGCCTTCGATATGCTATATCTATATCTGCTATGATCTGCTACTCACATTTTACGGATGTATTGTTAAGTGCATTGAAATTATTTGCACATGACAATTATGTTCACACCTCTTGATGCAGGCAAACATCTAGTGTCGTTGTGGAGATGCCGAATCTGCAAGCATCTGCAACATAAAGCAAAGCGTGGGCAAGATCCCAACCACTGTAAAACAAGCACTGTAGAAATATCTGTAAATGACCTTAACATCCCTTAACATCTATTTGCATCGATCTCCTGGTTGCGTCCCTTCACCAAGGCTCTGTCAGCTTTGCTGAAACATTTAAGAACAAACATCTTGAGGGAAGATAGGACCGTATTTGTGTGGAAGAAGAGCCTCTTGGTACGCAAAAACTTACTATATATCTCAAGCATGGGCGGACTCCAGATGCAGCACAGTGAATGGTCGCGTGCAAAGTCATCCCACCATTCGTTGGGGGTCCGTGATATCTTTACCGCTATCAATGGCGGTTCTTTTCCATCCCCTTATTTGTGTATTAAGAAAACGCATGACAAAAAAATCTGGGTACTCTGAATGTCAGCATTAAATCCGCTAAAACCCATTATAACTATAGAACATATTAGATCCAATTATAATGGTATGTATATATATTATAATATATAATATATATATATATACAGGTGGTTTAAAACCCATTAAATCCACTAAAATTTCGCCGGCGCCGTCTCCCAGACCTTCACCAGGCCTTGTTCTCGTCCAGGATGCTCTGAACGTGTAGTAAGTCCACCACATTGAGCACACAGCGCAGGGTGAACTGCCGGCGGTATTTGTCCTATGGAAAGTTTGGCCAACTGATCTGGGTAAAAGATGTATATATAAATATATATATATATATGTACTATACATACATACATACATTACATTACATTACATTGCATTATATTACATTACATTACAATAACATAACATAACATAACATGACATAACATAACATAACATACATACATACATTATATATATTATTATATAGAGAGAGTAGTGAATTTGACTATCACATATGTATATATATATATATATAGCATTGTATTTTTTCTGATCATGAAAGTGTCATGGTCATCCATGGCTTCGATGATTGGGGTACCACCCAGCCAGGAAGCCAGGATACCTCCATATTGGGAGAATTTCCCGTATACTAACCAGATCTAACCATCATTCTGGGTAAAATTATCATATTTCACCAACCTGAGTCCGTTGTGGCCACTGTTTTCTGCGGTGGCCATTTGGGGACGGTTCCTGGAATCCTAACCGTCCTAACCATGATGAAACTGTGCACAGTGAGGTCACTATAGTTTACCCAGACTGATTGGAAGGAATGGTTCATGCTTCACTTGTTTTGGAGGAATCATGTCAAAACAAAATGGAGGATTTTTAGAAATAATTGGACTTGTAACTTGTAACTGATGAGGAAGTCCGTTTAACTCGTCCAGTGGAAAACAAGTTCTCAGAAGGAACATGCTTTATGCTCAAGCAGCTGAAACGTGCTTGATCGTTTTATTGAAGATCTGTGAACTGCCGTCCATATTGCACTTCACTGAACTAACACACACACACACACTTGAATCTGCAAGCAAACAACTTGCTTAGTGGGACACGTCAGTGCATTGCAGCCATGGCTCATTGTCAAAAAGCTTAATGAAGGGAGCGGGATCAGCCACCCCAGTCGTCTCCTCGGCTCCAAAGGGATTTGCGGCAAGTGACCTGATAGCGGGTGACTTCTGAAACTGGGGTGCCCCTAAAGTCCATGAGTTTCATATATGGGTTGCTCCACACACACCCCAGGTACAAGGGGGCTAAATTGGTTGAATATAGGGGTAAAGCGACCAATTTACCCGCTGCATGGCCTATAATCAGCTGGAGCAATGTGTTCATCATGTTCTCAACTGAACTTGCCATTTGGGGATATATCACATGTTCAAACACACCAAAGTAGGGTAGAGGATCTATGAAACCAGAATCTTGCCTCCCGGTTTTGTATGCTCCACCATGAATGCGGTTGAGCTGCTATCAGCAGATGGGTCAATTTCAACCTTGGCTTTTACCGTCAGGTCATGTTTCGAGCACATCTGTTGACCTCAAATCCCACCTAGTGATGGCATCTTTGATCTTGTCCGAGAAGGCAAATCAACTCAACACATCCATCGTATGTGCATAGTATGTGTATGTATGCATATAGATATACAATGATATGCATGTGCTTTAAAGAAATGCAATATGTATATTAGTACTGCATGCATATACCATGCACATCCTAAGCCTTGTACATCTGGTTTGAAACCACCAAAGATGTTCATCCAACCAAAATCTGGCATGTCATCCGTTTTTTTTCCCCATATCCAAGCCTCAAGGAAACCATCCATGTTTCAGATTCAGGGATCCGACAAAAACATGAAACATATCTATAGTTCCACAATACATCATAATACGTCATAATACATCATAATACTAAGTCTACTATAATAGATATAGATAGGTACTATAGTGCCATAATCATAACTCCATAACCATGATATCATGATGGCACACTTGTCGCACATCTCAAGGAGCTCATCTTGCCGACTGCACAGGTCGTTCAGCAAGCGAGACAAATCTCCTTCGGGAGAGCAGCACAAGCAGCCTCAGGATGCTTGGGACGAGGATTCTTGCGGGTGATACTATGGTGATACCTGGGTTTATCCCACAACCAACATTGATTATTGGAATCTATTGGATTGGCATTGGATTACAGCCTGGTATTGGAATTCTTGGATTAGTATGAGCTGAATCACCTGAATCATCACAGTTTTTGTATTGGAATATATCGGAATTGTTTGGAATATTGGCCCCTTTTTACCGCCAAGGATCCACTCTTTGTAGGAGGGATAAACCAAGTGATAACAAGTGATACCCACTTTTACACAGCCAAAAGGGTTTTAGATGAAACTGGAAATTGCAGCTCCAGCACATCCAGTACGCAAAAATGAGGCTGGATTCAACATTTTAAACCAGACCTCAATGTGTTTTGTTGTGTATTCTTTTTTGTCATGAGGGATCCCCAAGTCACCATGGTTGTTCAATGACTAAGTCATGGTCGAATGACTTGAATGACTTGGGTTTCGGCCAGTGGTACCCCGGACCGACAACCTGGTTGACGCTACATGTTACCATAGATACATATAGATACTGTGGAAGAAAGATACTAGCACAAGTTGATGATTTGTCCCATTAGAATCCCATAGTCCCAGTGTTTCATAAGAATCCAAATGGGCATCCCAAGCCATTGCCTGATCCAAAGTCGAAGACCTCTGCGTAGCGAACACATGGCCTGGGTCACTGGGTCACGTTCCAGCACTTCAAGCTGCGTGCATATTGAGACTGTCGTGTTGCAAAAGATCAAACTACAGATAGATAGATAGATAGATAGATAGATAGATAAGATAGATAGATAGATAGATAGATAGATAGATAGATAGATAGATAGATCGATCGATAGATAGATAGATAGATAGATATACACATATGTAAACTATCCTAAGTATGTATACATATATTAATATACATTTATATACATGTATATACATATATATATATATACACATGCAGACATGATGATACATATGTACACTTCTGTGCATGTATTGTTACAGTATTGTTAAAAAGAATTTCTCTGGGTCTCCTCCCATGGAGACCAAGGCACGAGGTGTCCACTGGCAGCAATGTGGTTTCCTGTGGGTGATTTGCCAACACACTTCAGGATTCAAGCAAACCAACATTATCAAGACTGACAACTTGAGCATTTTGAACTGCGATGTAATCATGCACAAACAACATACATCCGCAAAACATGTGCAAAACATTATAATATAGATATATATATATATATACATACATATACATATACATATACATATATACATATACATATACATATACATATACATATATTCATCCCAAAAAAACCTGTCCATGCGAAGTGGCTGACCACAAATGGAATCCTGGAACGTATCCATTGATGTGAGGAAGCGACCCTCGGATAAAGGGATGCAACCAAGAGACCAAACCAAACGCTCTGGCATGGCGATGGACGCACACCTGGCCGCAGATGTTTCATGATCCCATCCTGTTCATATTAAACACCCCATTTTTATGGTCCCAATTTCCCAATTGGAAATTGCCTACGTATACTAAACCATGGTTTCAGGGTGTTGAATATTAGGGGGAAGGGATGGAAGTTGGCGTTTTTTTGTGTTGACCAATCCTTCAATTTTTTGGAGTACTTGGTGCATCTGCAAGCGCAGCGACCGAAAAACAGTTTGTTGGTGCACAAATGAAGATGTGTTTGGAGTGCTTAACCCTTGTCTATGTGATCACTTCCGGTCACACAATCGCGCCACAATTTGGGTTGGTTCCACCAATACAGCGAAGGGTCAATTTGATTCGATCCAAAAATGGATGGTTTCAGATCCTAAAACCGACCAACATGTGTGGCTCCGTTGGTACCCCAATGACTTGATCTGTGTATGATCTGTGTCCAATTCCCATTGCTGAAATCCAAACTTCATCAATAAATCACCGTTAAATCACATTGTGTGAGTTGATCCCCATTTCTTCAGGACTAAACTTGGCTAAATCCCCAACTTTTCACGGCCAAATCTCCATTTCTTCCCTCCAGCGCCGGGTCTCCCGGCAGCACAGCGCGCGTCCGCCAGGTCCGGATCCTTCAGCAGCTGCAGCAGCAAGGTGGAGCGCCCCGAGGCAGGGAGGCCAGTCACCAGAATGGCATCGATCATCCGCGTTGAACGGATATGGCTGCAACATGTGGAGGTTTGCGGGGTAGATATGTGATATATATATATATATATTGTGAATCGGAGGTTGTCTCTCCGACTATGTATTGATGTTGGTTCTTGAAGGAGTCGTCTTCAAAGGTGATGACAAGCGAATAGCGGCTTCCGCATGGCTTTGCTCTTTTCCGGTACTGCAGTGGGTCTTGAGCCAAAGGGGCGATTTGATATACCCCTTTGGCAGTGGATCCTAGAGTGTTGAATTGTATGTGAATGCACAATGGTACGTAGCCCACACTCTATTCGCACCCCCCATGCATAGCCAACTTTGTTGGCTACGCGCAAAGGAGTGTCCTTTAAATTGATCCACTACACTCGCAGCTGTTCATTTATTGAATTATGGAGAGCTAAAGTTCGTTCAGAACTTCCAATCTACATGGCGGCTTGCTACGATCTCTACCAAAAGATAAATGTTCTGTTCACGTGCATGTTGACACGACGTAGTCGGTGTCAAGCATTGAGGTTCATCCGATGTGGCGTAGCCAGCATGGAGTCCCACTCAAGCATGTGAATTAAAAAAAATCAAACACAAAGATGACTATGGAACTAGAAGTTTACCTCCCCGTTCCTTCGTCGGTTGAGATGTAGACCGCTGTAGAAACTCAGCGTCTCATGCAATGATGTTCAAAAAAAATGTGTGGTTCTAAATTAGCCGGCTCAGAGTCCTCTCAGAAATCATTCAAAAATGAAGTAGAGGTAAATCTCGAGCAATGATTGCATCCTCGCATCGCCAGGTTCAATCAGGACCTATGCAGAGGTCAGATCGCTTAATCATCTATATCCCCATCCATAGTATCCCTGTTGGTTCCAGTCTCCGCCACGGTGTGAATAGGATTTTCCACCTTTTCCATGATCTTTTCCACCTTTCTTCGGCGGGGTCACTGGAGCCTGTTTTGGCGGAGGAGCGGTTTCAACTGTTCTCCATGTTGCTGATGATGATGCTTTCGCTTTTGACACTCTTCCCAGTGCTGGTGCTGCTTTCGGGGCTGCTTTCGATTTGCCAGCGGCTGGGTTGGTACGTTCACGATCAGCAGGAGTTGGGGTATCAGCAATCGCAAGTATGTGAGCTTCTGTCATGTGAATGCCCCACCTTGGTCGTTGATCTTCCCGTTGCTTGATGTGATTGTAGTCATCGATTGCATCATATAGCTTCTGGAGTAGAGGTCGTGGCAATTGTCGGCCATTTTGAAGGATCAGGTGTAAAAGTGAAATTCTTCGAAGTTGTGGACGGAGAGCACACACAATGTCAACTGGGTTCAGTGTGATTGTGTCTTGAAAGTCGACGTTCCTGAAGAAATAAACAGCATTCACCCTATATGCACCTGCAATGATTCTTCTGACCATGACGTCTTGTCGGTCAAGGGCGTCGCGGGCCGCTGTGGTCTTTCTCATCTCATCCATTGTTGTGTCACGTTTCGACAGCTTCTCCATCTCCTCGTCAAAGAAGATATTTTGCAAATCATCATACGTGTAGCCACATTCAAGGGTATATACGAGAAGTCGTTTGAGTACCACTGCCCCATAATATGCATTGACGAATCCCTCTTCTCCGATGTCGTCCTTTTGATTTGGTCGGCCGATCTGCTTGTAGAGCTCTTTCATCTGTCGTGCAGTTGGTTCAATGAGTTCACCATTTTCATCCTCGCCCAGGTAAGGTGTTCTTGAGTCCAGGTCCATCCTGAATTTCTGGTTCTGTTGAAAATGTTTCCATGCCGTCTCGATGTCTCCACAGAAGTTCCGTTGGAATAGTCTGTAGATCCTGACGATATGTAATCCAATCTGCAACAGGAGGATCTTGATGAGCTCTGGTTGAGCATCTCCAATTGTGCAAGGCTCGATTGGTAGGACCTTTGATCCAAATTCAATCCGCTGCATCCATTTGGGGTACTCAATCTCTGCATCACGAGCTTCTCCAGCCTCGTACTCTTCAATGTTGATCTCATCGACCGCTGTTTCTTCATCATCATTCTCGTCGGTCGGTTTTCCTTCTTGATTGAGAAATTCGTCGACCTCATCTTGTTCTCTGAAGTCTCTTTTCTCATCATTGATGTCGCCCTTCTTCGAGGCTTGATCATCATTTTCTTCTTCTGGTTGAGTTTCTTGTTCTGGACTTTTCATGGTGACGTCATCATCATCTGGCATCACCTCGTCGTCATCTCCATCACCTGTCAGATCGATCTTCACCTCCTCCCATGCTTTCTTGACATGGTCTTTGAGATCTTCTTCTCGATGATGTGATTCGGCACTTGGTACTGTAGCCACGGTGATCTTGATTCGTTTCCTCCATCCATGACTTACCAAAAATCCTTTGCACATCACACAAATCGATAATGGTGCAGGGGTCTCCATCAGACATGCGGGGCATAGTCGATGGTCCTCTTTGCTGGGATGATGAGTGACTGCTAACAATGATATTGCGTCATTCCAATCCGGATGTCCAGGGAACAATCTGTGAGTATGACTGAAGTGACCGGTCCTGATATCGACAAGTTTTCGAAGTTCGTCCAGATCGGGTGATGATTCATTAGGTACAATGTTCCCAATGAGCTTGTCAAATCGTTCAAGGGTGGCCACCCTCTTTGCTCCTTGCACAGAAAGAACCAGTTGATCTCTTCCCTTTGTGATCATGAGACGGTAGTAGTCCTTTTCTCTCCAGTCGTAATACCAAACTGCATCGAATGATTCGAATGGAATTGTTTCTTGGACCAAAATGTGTCCGTCTGCTGACAATCTGGGGGAGAACTTGGCGATGGAATCGTACGTGATGTAGATGTAGACAAGATCAGTTTGATCGATCTTCCTGAATCTCAGCACCGTCTGACTTCTCACGTCCCACGGTGCGAATGGCACGAAGAACGTATTGATGCGGTCGCCTCCTCCTCCGGGACGTAGTCCTTCTCTGAAGATTTGAGCGATGTTGTCAAATGTGGTGCAATGAAATCCTCCTCCAAGAGTGTATCCTACTCCAGGGTTCATCTGATAGGAAGTCTTCTTGTCTTCGATGTGCACACCGCCTTGAACTCTTGAATGCGCCATAGGGGCACGGATTGCCACCGGCCAAAGCCAAATCTCTCGATCTGCTGTGCCGATCTCTAACCTCAGTGTTTGTCGATCAAGTCTCGAGGTCAATCCATCATTGAAATTGTTCATGAGATATTCCAACTCAGCTTTTGTGACCTTGAGTCCTAGCACTTGGGCTCGGATTCTCTTCGTTTGCTTGTACTCGGTGAAGATCACTCTCTGGAAATTGTTCCACCTCTCAACGAGTATCGGGTAGTTGACATGTGTCGTTCCAGCCAATGTATGTTGGTCTCTCCAAATGGCATCGTACTTCAAGATCGACTCAACATTGACCCAACCTGCCTCATCGCATGGTAGTTCACGGTGATTTCGATTGTCTTTGACGCAACCCACGGAGTGGCGTAGCGCTGCATTGAATCTTTTCGACAATTCGACTATCCATTGCGGATTTTCCCACTTGTTGCCCATCCACTCATTCTCGCCATATCGATGCACCTTACACCAGCCCATTCCAAGATATTCTTCTCCGTTGATGCGAGCAAGTTGAAGTGTACCAATGTTGTGGCCATGTGTGAATGGTTGGATGTACTTGAAGTTCCAGTTGTTTCCATGTTGTTTTCTTTCTTCAGTGAGCCATTTCATGTATTCATCATGATCAATGTGTTTCCAAGCGTTCAGCTCCTCAATGGTCGGCAAAACAGGCGGGGATTCCTCAGCCGCACGCTCAATCAGCATATCAAGCTCATGACGATTCTTCACACCTCGGCTAATTGGGTTGACTTCGACACCATTCACTGAGTATTGTCCTCCTTCTTCACGATCACCAATGTCGTACATAAAGGCTGACTGACTGTAGAAACACTTGGTCACTTCCTCTTTCTCAGTGAATCTGGTTCTTCCCCAACGCTTTCCTCGTGGCATGACGTTCTTTGGGAGCTTGTCTTTTCTGCCTTTGGTTGCAGCTTTGGATCTTTCGGACGATGACGGGGATTTGGACTTCTGATCCATGATCAATCTCATGCGCCAGATGGTGTCCTTCATGTTCTCATCATCTGGTGTAGTACACTCATCAATGTCATGCCTACCACCACAAATGAAACAATACTGAACATCCGATGCATCTGAAATCAACTTCTCAAATCGATCACGGATGTCACGCACCTCAGTTCGGCGCTTCTTCGCTTCCGAAGGTTGGCCCCCCATATCATCTTCCTCCTCCTCAATCTCGATGTCACCAGTTCCGGCATCAGTTTCTCCTGAAGCTTGTTCCGCTCGAGAGCCCCGCGCCGTAGGCGTCGTGGTCTCCTCATCAGGTTCATCAACTTCATCCACCTCTTCATCGCTTGATGAGACCTCAATCATTTCAGGGTCGTCATCGTAGTTGGCTTTTGGGAGCACCGGCATTCTGGTGATCTTCTTCTGCATGAGTAGGTCGAAAATTCCCGCTTCTTTCAAGATTGTAATCACCATGTCATTCTCGACCGGTGGGATGTATGCTTTCCTGGATCGGTTTCGCTTTGTGTTGATGGTGTCGGTAGGTCGACATGAACTGCTGAATAGCCAAAACGACTCTTCCAGTCCTGCGAGGCAATTGTCAAGGTTTGCCCCCCATCCAGCGAACATAGTAGGGAATTGAATACCCAGATCAAGCATTCCAAGCCAGAATTCGAAAATGTCGCCGACATACTCAGCTGTTGCGGTTGGATTGATCATTGATTCGATCTCTTCCTTGGTCAGCACGGTCTTCATGTAGTCATGATAAGCGACGTTTCCACCATCCCAAAGCAGTCTGTAAAACCATCGCATTCGGTGCATTCCGCCTCCGCAATCCTCTGTACGAGTTTCACGTTGCACTGTGAATTGGGGTAACAGGTCTCGTCTGCATTTCCCTTTCACCATGTATGCAGGCATTCGGATGGCACCTC